ATTGTTTTGAACAGCTTTATAAGCTTTTATTTTAGGCAGTTAAATAATTGCAAAAAACAGTTGCCAAATAGGATTAGCAGAAAAAAACAATTTATGTTGAACAAATCATTTTCGTAAATAGTTTCTGTTCAATTCAAAACTGGTGGCATTGCTAATCAATTTATAAACATTGGAATCTCTGTCCTGTGATTTTTTCTACTTCTCCTTTGCTGCCGGTATCTTACCTGAAGAATGGAAAGCTGGAAGGGTTGCCCAAATTTTTTAAAGTTGAGAAACAAATGATCGTTCAAAACATAAACCAATTAATGCACTCTGTTCTAGAGAAATTGAATTGCAACAAAATATGATCATCTGGATGGAGAGAACCAGACTTTTGTTTTCTGGCCAAACAGGCTTTGGAGCAGCCACGTAGCTGCAAATGCAGAGGGCACGGGGGGCTGTGCCCCCTAAATGAAAATTTTGACAACAACTTGCCCCCTTCTGGCTACAATTTTCCCAAATGATATTTCGAAAATTTGGTATATTTATAATTCCATGACCTTGATTTATTCCAAATATATCTGTTTGTTATATATCTGTTTTCTTGCTTTAAAGTCTGCCCTCCTCAGGTATGTTTCTAGCTCGAGTTACAAACATAGTACAAACATTTCAAGAAAATGACTGCAAGAAATATCCTGAAATGTACTTTAAGCTAATCTAAATAGCGTGGTTCTATCTATCTATCTATCTATCTATCTATCTATCTATCTATCTATCTATCTATCTATCTATCTATCTATCTATCTATCTATCTATCTATCTATCTATCTATCTATCTATCTATCTATCTATCTAACTATCTATCTATCTATCTATCTATCTATCTATCTATCTATCTATCTATCTATCTATCTATCTATCTATCTATCTATCTATCTATCTATCTAATTTTATCTATAGCTATTTATCTTATTCTTGATCTAATTTTAAATGTCATCTCAATGCTAACATAAATAAATTCAGATTGATCTGGCTTTTAAGGTTTTGTGGCAGCATGTTCCATTCAACGATTGTTCCTGCGTAAAAGGAAAATTTGTAGCAGTCTAAGCGTGGTTGTAGAGGAATAACGTTCTTTGAGATTGCTCCGCTGCTCCTTGCAGCCTTGCAGCCTATTACAGTAGTTCATGATGTGCTTGAATAGTATGTGCTCTAGAGTTTTACAGCAGACAATACAGAGTTTTAGAGCTTTAAATCTTTGAAAGGAAAAGTAGCAAGTGGTCTGTCTGCGTTGAAAAAACTGAAGCACATTCTTCCATAATCCAAACTATGTGAGGTTTATCATGCGCTGGTTGAAAGTCACCTCCGTTACGGGAATGTTGTCTGGAGTAGCCTGCCAAACACGAAGCTACAAACGCTTCAGCGTCTGTTGAAGTTGCCAATTTTATACAGAGTTAGATTGACAAAATGTATTGCAGAGGTTTGTAACAGCAGCTAAAGAATTTCAGACAATAATTTTTAATCAGTTAAATTTGTAGTCCACCCCCCCGCCCCCCGACAAGGCTTGTCTTGCAACGGTCCTGGTCATTGTGTGTCTTTGTTAGCTCAGCCTTTATTGCTTTTCTCAAGGACCTATTCATCTTCCAGTCTTCTTCTCCTCTTGTTCTCTTTGCTTTATTGTACAGTCTTTGCTTTGCTTTATTGTACAGTCTTGAACAGGGGCGTAGCGTGCGGGGGGAGGGGGGGGGGTTGTGGGGGTGTGTACAGCCCCAACTTTCAGAGAGCTTGTCGGTAGAATTAAATTTGTAGCAAAATATTAATGCAACAAAATAATGTTTTGTCGGTAAAGTATGATTTTGCACCTCTTCCCCCCCAGCGAGAATGGTCACGCGACGCCACTGGTCTTGAAGGTATGATTTTTTATGATTGAGCTCAAAAGTTTGGTTGTAAACAAGATCCATAGATCCTCCACTGTCTGATCTCCTTGAAGCTCATTTAGTAGTTTCTTTTTGTCATCCTTCACATTTTCCATATTACATTGCTATTCCTTTTTCAGAGAATTTAGAAGGTATCAATTATCAAGGTCCCTGGTAAAACATGTCTAATATCTTCGAATGAGTTTAATCGTCAACTATTGAGGTCGGAAATCAATCACAAATTAATAATTTACCTGCACCATGCAAACGACATGGGCCCCCCTTTTTTCATGACAATATTTACATCTAAAATTTTGAGCCACCCCTCTGGACGGCATACCAAAAGCTAAAGCATTCTGATCAGGTGAGCGTACAACAGCAACAACAGCCAAACAGTATCCTATTCACCACATTGGGCTTTCAACACTTCCAGTAATGGCGGGAAAGTCGAAGAGAGGATCGAGCGCCAAAAACTCTTCAAGTGGACAGGTTAGTTGTCCGAAAGCAGTTTATTATTCAAAAATTTTTATCATCATCCCCAGTAATGTATAATTCAGTGGGTTCAAACTTTGTTTTCCACACTGTTTTGGCACACACACACACCCCCTTCTTTTGGCACACACTTCTTACAAAAAGGATTTTTTCTTTCATCTAAATACGATTATAAAATGTTGGGAGAGGGTTTATTTTTTGACAAAGTGTTTTCGTGATGTGGAACTATGATTTGAAACTGCCTTCATGTAACCTATTGCTTACCGCCTTCATGTCATAGCTGTCCGGCATTCAGAATTAGTTGAACCAGCGTTCCCTTCCCTGTTGGTAAAAGGGCGTATCCTGGCAGTAAAAAGGCCCATGGCCTAGAATTTTTAATTTTGTCCCTTCCCCAAATCCTAGTGGCTGGCATCGCCACTGCCATAGATGCTTTCACGTGGCAGGACAGGCTGAGGGCTATTGGTTTTCTTGCTTAGATTCCCCCCATCATACCATCCATTTTGTAGTGGCCAATTTTCTTTCTTTTTATTCATGCGAGCAAATGCTATAGCGCCAAGCTCATCAGGAGCAGTGAATATATTTGAAAGTGGATGGGCCAAATGTTAAAATTACGAAGACTTCCAGTGCCGTCGGAACAAAATTCCTATTGGGGGGGCTGCCCATTGTTTTCCTTCTAATTCAGTACACTGTTATAAAGGAAATATACTACAGTCTGACAATTATTGGGGGGGCTCCAGCCCCCCAGCCCTCCAGCCCCCCAACCCCCCCCAATAATTGTAAATCGTAAAGTTTAAAAATCACCCTTTAAGTGCAGCGCAAATAATCAATACATTACATGAGGAATCAAGTTAGGACCCTCCTCAACTTTAATATTCAAATATTCAAGAAAAAATCTCAGAATTTTCATTGTTCAATTGCACCTTGTGATCTTTGCAAGGAATATGTGTGCTACACTACATCAGTAATTTTACATCTACATTATGCTTAGCATTGTTAATTTAAATAATTTGGTTTAAGTTAGCTTGAGTATAGCTAGAGATTGTACCAACTTTGAATAAATAAAGAGAAAAGGATGGAGAATGGAAAGAAATGAAACACAGATCAGCAATAAAAGATGAAGATAAGACAATAAACGAAACAACCATGTCAACAAAAAATAAAATATAAGGCACTTTGTAAAGTTAAGCCATTTTTTTGTAAAATCTGAAAAGTTAAGTTTAGGTGCCTTGAAAGGTTAAAGCGTTCGATGGTGTGTGATCCATAAAATGGAGACCTTACCATATTCATAAAGTGCTGATAGCCTTTTAGATGTAATATTTGTATTTGAAAGAGGTATCACTGTTTGAAAAAGTGTATGAGGTCTTCATAAAATCAAATTATTTTTACAGAATTTTCAGAAGGAGTTTCTTGAGAACAAAATGATGCACATTTAAGATAAAATAAAGTAAAAGCATAAAACTTTTGTAGACCCTGTTGACACTACTCTGTTTTCCTATGAGAATGGATCCAAATGAGTTTGTTTTAGATTTTGCGCTCCAACTAATACACACAAAACCGGAGTCATTTGATACCAAACCAGACTGGTTTGAAAATCTGTTCAAAGTGGAGTCCTTAGAAAAGACAGTCATTTAAAAGCCCATAGTTTAAATGGGAACAGCAAAAACAGAGTCAATTGAAAATAGAGTCATTCATTATCAGTTTCAAAGCAAGCTCAAACAAAGGATATAAAAATTGATGAAAACGGAGTCATGGGAATGCCTTCATTTTCATTTTGACCAAAACAAAGTGGCCTGGCGTTATAAGGACTGTTCAAGAAAATATGAAAGCCGAATGATCTGAGAAGGGAGACATACGTACATAGAGTAATAGAAACAGGGCCTTGAGGAGTGATTATGCCCCCTCCCCCAAAAAATGTCATCAAGATAACACACACAAAATAAATTTAAAATTACTTTAGAGAAAATTGGCTAAAAATTTAATGAAACAAGAGAGAAAAAGAATAGTATATATGCAATAAAAGGCATGTCTGGGAAGTTATAGGCATTTGTTGAGGTGTGTGCTTGTAATCGCATACCTAATGTTAGCAGGACTGCTATGTATTCCAAATATGGTAAGGATATTGTAAGCTCAAGAGATATTAAAGGTAATGAACATAAACAGGTCCAAAGTAGTAGGCTACATTCTTTTCTACTTTTTCTAGAATTTTTTTTGTCTCTGAAGAACAGTCGGGGGGGGGGCAGCCTCTTGGTTTTACTGACCATGTTCATTTTGCTTTAATGCACTCTTTTGTGGCACATATTAACCCTTTAAGTTATTGGCCTAACTTTGATTGTCTAAAACTATTTGAAATTTTCACAGCCCTTTACACCTTTATAAACATGGTGTGAGCCAAGGTCCAAAATGTGAGCTGGAAATTCAGTTTATTCATTCATTCAACTCATTCATTCAAGTACTGATTCATTCAAGTTTGAATTTCATATATTTTTTTTGAAAAATTACCATTGTGGCTATTTGAATTTACACCTTATGTTAATCTGTTCATAGATAATTTACTGTTTTACAAATTTGAATGAAAACTTTACCTAAATTGATTTTTGCTAATTTCAGAATTTGAAAGCTAAATTTGAATTTACACCTTGTGTAAATTCGTTCATAGAAAATTTGCTGTTTTACTAATTTGAATGAAAACTTTACCTAAATTGATTTTTGCTAGTTTCAGAATTTGAAAGCTAAATATAGCAATCAAATTAAGTCCCTGAAATCATAACATTTTGATTAAAGATAATACTGCCACACTATTAGTGGATAGTTTTTCATCACATCACTGAAAAATCATTGATTTGTGACCTAGTGCAGAGATACTGCTGGATTCAGGAGTCGCTTCTTTTATGCAGTCATGTTTTAGTATAGAAGAAGAAGAAATCTAATTGAAGCGAGTGGGCTTTCCTGAGAATAAATTAGCACAAGTGCAGCATTTTGCACTCCTAGACTATGGTAGGAGCGTGATGGAGTGCTTTGGATGTTTTGCATGATTTCTACAGAATTTCTACATAGTAAATGGAGCCATAAAACCTCATTTCTCAACTGATTTCATCAATTCTCACACAACTTTACCATTTCATCATTTCATCAGTCAACATCAGCAAAAGCTGCCATTTAGATGACCTGCATTGTTTAAAAAATATATATATGGTTGTAACTAAAGCAAGGTAAGCTGGAGAAATATTGAAAGTAGTGTGTGTCAGGTTTTTAGCTTTCATTTATTTTTATCAGAAAGATGTGTCAGGTAGTTGATCATGCCATGTTATTAATCATGGCTTTAGAAAAATGTTTGAATAAAAAAATAGCAGCAATATGAAACAAACTTTTCATCACTTACTTGCCATTGCTCGCCCAATTTGTAACATGTATCTAACTGATATTGCATATTTAGAGAGATGATTCGTGGTGTTCTATTGAGTAATGTGGTACAAAATAAAAGTTCTAAAAACATATTTTTATGACGTCACACTTAATATCTCTATTGCCACTACTCGCTAATTCTATACACATCAGAAGTTTCGAAAAGTTTCGAAACTCAGCAAGGGAAAGTTTGGAAACAAAACAAGGAAAATTTTGAAACTAGACAACAGAAAAAAAGCTAATGAAGCTCGTGTGTTCAAGGCAACACCAGGAATAATTTCTTGAGTAAGTTGAAAGCGAAAATAACGAGTGAAGCTAATTAAGCCATATAAATCAAGTAATAGGGAAATTGGAAGAATTTTCGTCGATTTTGGAAGGAATTTTAAGCAAATAGAAGGATATTTTCGGGAATCCGACCTACTCCTTCATCGATCATGCCATCACCATGACATCCACTTACATCATTCACAGCATCACCCACCAAAGGGCATTCCCTTCACCATTGTTTACTCGTTCACACATCTATGTCATGCTGACTTCTTCTCAATCTAGATGTATGTTATATGTATGTTAATTTCAGTGCCTAATTCAAGGGACTTTTACAATACCACTAACTATGCCTAAAAATGTTTAGGCCCCTCTAGGAGGGCCCAGTAAATTTTTAAAACTGAACGCCCTAGATTGGCTAAAATTGCATTTCTGAGACATAAAATGATTAGAATATGATGGGAAAAAAACACCTCATAGAGGAATTAAATTTACATTTACATTTTAGATTTTGTAATAAACAAAACGCTTAGAGGGACAATCCTCCCACTAATTCCTGATTTCAAGACCACAATTTGGATTTTCAAAACCACTATTAGTGTACAAGACCACACTAAATTAGGCACTGGTTAATTTGTATGTTAGTTCAGTTCAGTTCAGATCAGAGTTATAGAGCAACACACTGTCTCTCTCATTGGCTCCGTGTTCTCTGCACGTTAAATAAGACTGGAACAAACGTCAACGATGGAAAGTCAAAGAAAGGAACCACGGCAATTTTTGCCAAATAATATCGTTCCTATTCTACTTATAGACAGAGCTGTTTGGGCTCTGGTACATAGAGAAGAACAGCTCTAATTTGCAGTTCCTTACCTAATGTTAGTTTTGTACTTAATTTGAACATCAGGCAACTGTCCAATACTACATAGGATCATCGATAACTAAAGTCATGATGATCACAAAAGTAACCGAGGAGTGTTGGTATCCTGAGTGCAAGATTGCTAATAAGGGATCGGCTTTTCTCTGAAAGATATAAGTAGCTTTTTTGTATAATATATTTGTAGCTGACCCCAATTATGTTTGGAAAAACTTTGTTAGATCTCTGCTGATAAGAACCTAACTAGGAGACATTTGAGAACTATTATTTGTAAAAAAGTCGAATGTGATTGTGCAAAAAAGGCTCCAACTCTCCTGATTTGTGCTTGAGTGTCCTGATTTTAGAATTCTTCTCCCGGTCTCCCGCTTTCAAACCAAACCTCCCGCTTTCAAGAAATGTTTTTATAAATCTGTTATAAAATACCATTTCAAAAAATTTACACCAATGTATGTGATGTTTGCCATCTACCCTTCTTTCAGATCTTTGAAACATAGCTGGTGAAATGTACTCTAGCTCTTGATGCAGACCTTTTCAGTTGCATGATCCAGCCAATCAGAGACTGCCATTCGTAATTTTCATGGCGATGCGACCTGCTCTAGCTGTGAAGATTTTAATTGTGAAGATTTAAATCGAGAAACTACAGCCCGCCCCCCCCTCTAATTTTGTTAGCGACAAAAATATATGCTTATATATCGTTACTACAACATGAAGTTTTCTGATAAATTGTTTCGCAAAAATATAAATCTGTTTGTATAAATTGAAAAAGAGAAAATCCAATTTCAACTTGAGCGTAAAAAATGATGCATTCCAATGTTTGTGTCATCTCGATCTTCCTCATATTTTTATAGGAATTTATTTGTATCAAAATAGACTTAGATAGTATATAGATGTCTGGGCTAACGTTTTATTTCATTTTTCAAGTTTATCATCGACCAATGGATTTAAGGAAGTCAATTTTTGCAAAAGCTGGTTCTTGTGAACTTTTTGCGAATTTGGCGTGCATTGATTTTTTGCGGACGGGGCAAATTCGTAAATTTAACGAAAATTTATCAAAAATCTTCCGATTTTAAAGATTCTTTGATTGAAATGATATATTATTTTTAAAATGATAGGGTGAATTTGACTATTTTTGCTCTAGGTTTCAAAGAAACGTAAGATAGGTAAAGATGAAGAAGAGGAAAGCACCAAGAAAATTGGTAAGTGGCTTGTGCTTTGACTTATTGATTTTGCTAATAAATATGGATTAACTTTGCCATTGTAATGGTAACTGATGATGAAAAAAACACATTTTGCGTTTTTGAATTTTGAATATTGTGAAAGAACAGCATAGAATAACTTGTAAATCTGTTGAAAATTTGAATGAGACATGGTCATACGAGCATAGCTATAAAGCAATGCTTAGTCTTTGTTTTAGCCAATTCACAAGGAATCTTTTGCATAACTTTCATTATCACTGACCAGATGATATTCCTAGTAAAGGAACATCTGCCATTAAAGGAATGTGTTCAATGGCCTTTTTTAATACAAGGATAAAATACTCGCAGGTGTACCACTAGACCCATTTCTTGGGCTGCTGCTGTTCATGATATGATACGAGTAATGATATCAATCACTGTTCAGCTGCAATCTAAGAATGCATTTAAATGTTGATAAGCCAGGGAAAGTTAGATTTTTTCTACCGAATTCCAGAAATCGATTGACTAAGAATAACTGAAGGTAATAGGCCTTTTGAAAGGCATTGCCGAAAATGTTTTCAAGAATATTGGAAGCTTTGTTGAGACACTATCTACAATTTACAGCTTTGTAAACGAATTTTATACAAGAAGAAGATGAGTCTTCAAAACGCATTAGGGGGTGGGAGTGGGGAGGTAAAAGTATCTCCTTTTGCAGCATTCATTATTACATTTAGAATAATCACCAGAAGGCATCAATTGCTTATTTTTTCATTTGAATAAATTAATATTTTGTGATGTTTTTTCAATGATAAAATCCAGCCTATTATGGCTGGAGAGACAAATCTTCCAGATTTCTCTACTTTTTCAACGCCGAACAACTTCCCATGGAATCGATACAGTCGGATTTATGGGAGAAGAACTATGGGAGACACTAAAACCAAAAATGAAAAATTCAGACTCCCTTAAGATATTAAAAAAACTCATTAAATCCCATAAATGCCAAGTTGCAACTGCAGATTATGCAAGATATTTTATCCATACTTGAGATTTTTATCATAAATTACATTTTGTATAGTTTTATAGCAATTTGTGTGTATTTTGTTGAAATAGTTGGCCTTAATTAGCTTTTAAGCTACATATTTGTAACTACCAACTTGCCATGCACATTGATTTGAATTTCAGTTCCCAGATTTGACTTGCTGATATGAATAAAAAAATGTTTTGTTACTTGTTTTCGTTTGAAAAACAAAATATTGGCATATTTGCGACATGACTTATCGATCGCTTCTCTAGTTTTGCTTATATAAAAGTAGTCTATCCCTCCCAAAGTTTGTTTATAAAAATTTCACTTTACGCCTTGTGTTTTTTTACTGCGAATGTCGCAACGTATTTCAATATTCTTTTGGATTTTTTAATTTGTTATTGTATAAAAGTGAATTTTGTTCTTTTAAGATTGCGAAACAAAGGAGAAATTCCACGAAAATATGAAAAAGGCATTAAGAATGGAAATGCCAGATGACTTTTTCGAATTTTATGAATTTTGCAAGAGTTTTGGTGCATCACATGTCCATGGTAAGGTTGTCGATCTTTTTTATGACATTCGCCTCGTTCATTTCTTTGATGGTCTGTTGATATGTCGCGTTTACACGAAATACCGTAAGTCGGCAAACTTACAAACAGAAGTCAAAGACATCGTGACATTTGTTGATCGTTTGTTGATCGTTTCGCTAGCAGAAGCTGTTGTAAGCGTTATCTGAGAGTCAGGTGATATCGTTTAAACAGTTTTGTTCTGATTTCAAATGCTTTTCATTCTTTTGTGATCGACTTTACGATGGGATTAGTTTTCAACATCTTAAGCGATTAGCCTATAGCTTTTATTCTAGTGGTAGATGGTGTATACTTCCACTAAACACGAAACTTTAAAGACATTCAAGAAACCATTATTATCTGGATGGGTTTAACATTTTTCAAAGGATTTTCAGAGACTTTCATAAGTTTTCGTAGGATTACTTGCCTTTAAAGTCTTTTTTTTCATCAAAGGTTTTACAAGCATCTTGTCACCAAACTTATAGATGTCTAACTCAAATTTAATTCTTAAAGTAGTCAGATTATAAACATTTGAATTAATTTCAGATTTTTTCAAGCATTTTACTGTCAAAAATTTATAAAACTGTTATCGAAAAGCCATTTCCTGCATTGGCACATGGAAGGATTATCTATTATTCTTAATATTAAGAAATGTAGCATTACCTTTAACCATGATAATCTCAATGTGTAAGCGGTTATGCATGGTAATAATTAGTACCTATGTCACCATTGAAAGTCGTTTCGCGATGGTCGGGTAGATAAATTGTCGTCGTCTTATCAACGCCATCTGTATTTTCTAGATGCGTTATCGGAACTTTTGGGTTTACAGCTTTGCGGACCATATGACTTGTTACATGAAGAACTATCTTTAGACACAGGCACAAAAGGACTCGTTCAGGCTGAGAGTAGTGGCAACATGAAATACCACCTCAATTCAAGATTCTATTTTGACCCTCCAGAGGTTATGACAGTCGTTAGAGAATCTTCTCACCAAACCGGGCTTCATCTTGGATATTTCCGGTAACTTTGGACATTTGTTATTTGATAGATACAAATGCATTTGGTTTATAGAACAGGACAGTTTCAGTTGCTACTCCGATTTCTATTGAAAGTTTCTAAGAAAGTCTTTTGAAGAAGCAGTTTATTTTGACGTACCATTATTCCTACTACGACGTACCAAAAATACTACTAATAATTCTTTGGTGATAAATTCTCCTGAATTTTTACCTTGAATAGTTGATAACTTTTCTTCTTGTTGCTGCCAGTTCTGATGCTGTTTGCCACACTAAAAATGCTTTCGTAGCATTCCATCATGAATTGCAACTCACAAATGACTCTTTCTTATCGACAATATGTATTTTACTTGCAGGGACAGTCCTAACGAGCTCCCGTCACTCGTAGTGTCAAATAGGTCCGAAGAAGACTGCGTTTTTACTCAATGTGGAGACAACATTTTCGCAGCAGTATGGTATGTTTGGCCCTTTAATAAACCTTATTTTTACAAATGTACAGGAATTTTTTACGAAAGCTTCGAATTATTTACGAAAGCATCGAATTATTTATCCTGATTCCGACGGAGCCCCCGTAGCCCCGAATGATTGGAATATAGAATAAAACAGCATGTTCCGTCTAGTATTAGAAACAAAACTCATCTCCTAAGAGAACAGCCACCTCGGTCTTGCAGATCTAAAAGTACAACTAAAACATGCGATTCTGCTATCGGGCAGCATTTATTGGAAAAACCAGATTGTGCAAAAAACTATAATGGCGACATGTTTTGGATTATTGGTAAAGCCCGATCATCGTTCCGTCTAGCAGTTTTAGAATCTATCTACATAAGCACATATTGTGTAGAGAAAAGGAGTTAGTTTTCACTTTAAGGACTCCATTGGTAAAATCTTCAATCGGCAAGCGGCACTGATTGGTCAACCTCTACAGTCATGTGCTCGCGTTTCTGATTGGCCTATTTCGATTCACAACTGGGATATATATTTCCTAGCGTGGAGTTTTCGATCTATGTTCTAACGTTTTAAACTCTGAAGAGTGTCAGACGAAAAGCTTTAGTTTACTCAAATGTTTGTACCAAGATAGTGTGGCAGCACTCTATGGCAGCATTTTGTGGCAGCATTTTGTGGCAGCAAATAATAGCAGCAACAGTTTATTTATATGCTCAATTTTCTGTGACTTTTATTTTTTCTTTCAGTAATTACGCTGGAGATTTATTGAAGAGCACGAAAAACAAGGCAAAAAAAGAAAAAATTGAAGTGCTTCTTGTAAGCCTGAAAGAATTTGCTCAAAAGTACAATCATTCGTTACAGTTAGTTACAGTAAAGACGCAGAAAAGAAGTAAAATGGTTGTGGCGAAGACCTTTCATAAGATGGGCCTGGTCGTGCCACTTGATGGCAGCGGAGTGGGCTATAGGCCCTTGAATCTCGCTGACAGTAAGTGAGATTCATATACCTTTGCCAACTGCTGTCCTAAACTCGACAAATTTTAAAATGCCACCAACATACGCAAACATGACATATCAGAGTAAAACGTCATCAGAGGCCGGGAACTCAAAGACAAGCTTTTTGCAACTTCCTGATGAATGGCATCTTAGCCAACTCATTTGAATTTCCATCAATTTTCTTTGACAATTGTTTAGTGTGGAGTTTCTAGCTATGGGAACGCGGTCAAAACAAAGGTGCAATGGCCAAATCTTCGGCATGAGGATCTTAACACCGAGTTGTGTTTTGTTTACAAATACTTGCACGGCTTCGCACCCGTTTATCTCTGGGAACATTTTACGGTTAAAAGAAATGTACATTTTTACAAACAAGACAAGCAATTGACTTTTATATGCACATATTTACTAATGGCAACAGCTCGCAGTGATCGGATAACTTTTTGTTTAAATTTAATGTTGTCAAAGACTACAATGCTTTGCCAAGTTATATCAAGAATGCTACTTCTTATGGACAATTTGAATCATAGCAACACACAGCATCTTAGTTTAAGATACTCATTTGAACAAATTATCAATTTTATAGGATGATATTGCAATTATGAATTTCGTTTAATTTATGCCGCTATGAGAAACCTTTGTACTAAGGATAAATGTGCTTATATATAAATACAGTATTCATAAATACAAATGATCGTCCTTGCTACTTCTGTCAGAAGAAACCTTCTTCTAATACATTTTACATAAATGCATTGCATTTTTTCAACTTCTATTTGAGTTTCTTCATTCATAGATGCCCTCAGAAAAGTTTTGACAAAGATCTGCAAAGCCAAAAATGAAGACGAGAAGAACAAATGTTACGACGATCTTCATGAGCTGATCACTTTTGTTCAGTTTGCGAATGACGAATGCGATTACGGCATGGGACTGGAACTGGGCATCGATTTGTTTTGCTTTGGAAATGAAGCCTTTAAGCAGCAAGTCCTTCAGCTACTTCCGCTTGCGTACTCCCTTCTTGGAAGAGAGCTTTACGCTGAAATTATCGAAAAACATATGCAGAACAGAGAAAAGCCTTTCGTCGATCAGGTCATCGAAGAGACATAGAGCAAGTTACAGATTGCGCGGTCGCTGAAGATGCTGAACAGGCTGTCGAAGATAATGCAGTTGACATTAACAAAAAATGGGCAAGTATGAATGGTAGGAGGAACTCAAATAAGTGTGGTAGACAGCTATAATTCCAAGGAAACACGTCCGAAGGCGACTGGCTACACCAACCCGACTACAAAAGACTTCAAACGGAAAGCAAGATAGCCGATCACGTGACTGGATGTCTCTGAATTATCCTTGCTACTGTCCACATGACTGGAGCCAATGTGATCCGATTGGCCTGGACTAAGTTGCCCTGACTAAATTAAAGGTAACCGTGACTTGTTGTAAGCTTTTTAAAATCATTGGTATCCGTTGGTTCATGAAAACAAAAGTTTCAATGAAAAGTTTGTTATTCCATGCACTATTCGCTTCACAGTGGAACTTGTTTCTGCCTAGTAATTCATTATGTCATATAATAAAAAATTTTTCTCAAGTTTAATATTGCTTGAAAGCCTTCCGTTACCTTCAAAGTTTTTCCAAATTAATTGAATCAACTCGCTATGACGGTTAATTGATTGTACAGTGTTTGAAGGTAAAGCTTTTATTGCTTCAAATATTAAAGGGAAATACATTGCTGTCCTCATCTCATTATATGTATATCCTCTAATCATCCATAAATTGCCATTTTCAAAATGTTTATACTGAAAACTGCCTTAGAATGGACTAAGAAAATGTTCAACCATCAGGCTGGTTTGTTCTTGGTCTGACAAATCTCAATAGACTTTTCATATGTTCTGGGTTAATTTTGGAAGTAAGCTAATCGCTTGCTGTAAAAACAGAGCAGGTTTGTCGTGGGTTGGGTACCAGTTGGTTAGAAATGGCGCCGTGAAATTTTCGGTCCCCTTTCCGTCTATTGACTTGTAGACGATTGTGGGAATGAGAACGGTTGATCTTGGCTCAAGTGGAAACGACGATTGATATATCAAGCAAGTGGCCGAGATTGTGGTCGAGTCATGATTTTCTCGCCTTTTCACCTCAAGGGACTACTGTTCAACACTGCTAGCTGTACAGTAGACAGGCCTGCCTCCAGTCTAGTTTCGTTTTCAAAAAAACCAATAAATGCCCATGTGATGATGTCTGAATATGTTTTCAGCTGAGGTTTTGCCCATTTCCTTGGGAAAATCTTCCTTCGGAGTGTCTTCTCTTATCCTTTCTTTGTGCACACGTACTACTGTTATTGCAAGATTCTTAGATTTCACCGCAGCTTGTTTGATTTTCCTGCTGTCACACCTTCTGTTGACAAAGTACCTCTTTTTCACCATAATTGGAATAGTTTGGCACAAAAACTTTGCCGTTCATTGGATTCTTCCTATTTTTTCCATTCATACAGTTGGTTGGTTTCGAATAAATGCAAGCTTTCATTACAAAAGAAAAAATATTCAACTAAGAATATTAATTGGATAAGGATATGAGATGAGCCATGGCTATTTGGAAAAGCCTCGCCATCTAATGAGTTCTCCGAGACCAACCTTGCTCAAGTAAAAGCAATGAATGTGTCTTATGGTGTCATACTGACAACGTTTGCCAGCCCATATCTGACTGGTACTTAACCAACCGAACCATATTATTTTATATTTCATATTTCATATTTGATTTGTTTTGGGAGAGTTGCCCTTTAACAGAAGTTGTTTTTCAAGGGGCCCTCCAAAAAAAATTAATTACAATATATAATCAAAATACTAGAAAATAAAAAACCATAATATTAAAACCCTATTTACAATTACATGGTATTATACAGTATAAAAGGAACTAGTCAACCCTGTATTGATTTTTTGAAACCACCCATGGAAGATGCCGTCTTGGACTCTGCAGGAAGGCTTTTCCATAGTTTAGCTTACCGGAAAGAAAAGCATCTACTGCATAAATCTACTGCATAAATCTACTGCATAAATCTACTGCATGAATTTGCTGCAAAAATCTACTGCATAAATCTACTGCATAAATCTACTGCATAAATCTACTGCATAAATCTACTGCATAAATCTACTGCATAAATCTACTGCATGAATTTGCTGCATAAATCTACTGCATAAATCTACTGCATAAATCTACTGCATAAATCAACTGCATAAATCTACTGCATAAATCTACTGCATAAATCTACTGCATAAATCTACTGCATAAATCTACTGCATAAATCTACTGCATAAATCTACTGCATAAATCTACTGCATAAATCTACTGCATAAATCTACTGCATAAATCTACTGCATAAATCTACTGCATAAATCTACTGCATAAATCTAAATTTCCATATTGACTCGTGGCAAAAGAAATGCAAATTGCCTGCAAAAAATCTTATTCCACCAGCTTTGAATAGATTTCCGTCATCATTCTGGGCACATCCTCGTTTCGTTTATTTCAAGTAATTCCCTGTCGTCTCTCCAGCTCGATCTCCAGTACGATCTCCAGCACGATCTTTAGCACTCAATTTGCTGTTTTTGACATTTAAATAGAAGATGCAGTTTCCTTTGCTCACTTTCTAAGAATTGAATGTTTTTTCATACCTTTCTTAATCGACAATCAAAGAAGATCATTCATAACCAGTGGCTTGCCAAGTGCATGGCAATATTTACCTCATAAAATATCAACTACATACGTAAGAGTTGCAGCAAAAAGTAAAAGCATGGTAAAGAATGACACGAGCTCATGTGAGCTCAAGTGATGATGTGAGCTCAAAGGGCTTTTAGAGGCAAATCTTCAAAGGAGCCAAAAAAATAAACAGGTAAATTTGGAGGAAGGCATTACGAAATACTGTGTAGACCATATTTTCTATGACGTTTCATAAATCATCAAAACGAAACGAATCATAAAGTAAAAACCAAATTTTTTTGAAGAAATTTCTTTCATTTTATTGCAACCTTTCTAAACAACCCTAATACATTTAACACTAGCTTGTTAAGACTGCCTTAAAGGGGCTGTGTCACGGTTTTGTAAACAAACCAAATACACGGGGCATTGTGCGTTTTTAGCCTGACTTGCACATCGGGATAATGGAGGATGGTGCTCCGGTGCATCGACAAGCTCGATGAATTGTATTTTCCGAGCGCATTTACCGAACATGGAATGGACAATTACTATATTTCTGCATATGTACCAACTGTCGAAATGAAAAGTGTATGCTAATTTGGCTAAGGAAATGACGCTTCTTTCAATGATGGCGAAGATATTCCGTTTCTCTTGGTGAATTTAGATGGAATTAGACACTCTACAAAAAAAATTACTCCAAATTTGTCCTGCAAACTTTAATACTGTTTTTCGCTCATAATTTACACCAGTAAAGTAGGTCTTGTAGTGTCATTTCGGCCAATTTCTATAAACAGCTCCCTAGCCGTTAAAGTGGCCTTTGTTTTTTGTATCGCCATCCTTTATCCAAAGAAGTATGATGATAAGACTGAAGAAAGAACCTTAATTATTCGTTTCCTTTTATAAAACATCCAAAAATGCAAAAGCTTCGCACGATGAGCACGGATACAAAAAACCGTTTTATTCTATTTTGGTTTTCCTATTGAACGCAAGTTGTTTCACCCAAACACCTTTCGCAAACTGGCGTGTTGCCACGTGGGATGTCCCTTGTGACACAGCCCCTTTAAACGTAGTTACTGAAGTCACTAATCACATGATTCAAATGATTGCATGATTACAATGATTACATGATTCCATTGGTTACATGATGCCATTGATTACATGATTCCATTGATTACATGATTCCAACGATGACACAATGTCAATGTTGACAGATGACGTAGTAAGAGTTGGGATGATACCAAGCAAGTCGAGGTGTCTTAATAATCACCCTAAAGCAAGTTTTCGTCTTCCCCGTTGCTGTGTGGTGTTCCTTAAGGCTCTACTCCTGCTCCTTTTTTGTCGTGATATATTTAAATAATGTGTTTGGGAATTTTGATGACATGCTATTGAACCCAGTGAGTCCTTATTCTATTTGGGTAACATTTGGGAAAGAGGAAAGCAAAATTCTTTAAGATCAGTCGCAAGTATCTGATCCTAATGAAGAGGTCAACTCAAGAAAAAGATTCTGTCTGAATCTGATAAACAACGCCCATTTAAGAGTCAGGATCTGTAAACTTCTTGGCAGCGATAGTAGACTTTCATGCTTCAATGAATGAGTTCCGTAAAGTATATAAAACGCATCCTTTCCAGGTGGCAAAAAGTGAGGAACATGTAGACCAAAAAGTGAATTTGTCACTCTTTTTTAATTCTATTTAGCATCGAAGGTAACTGCTATTTAGTATCGAATGCATCAAACAGTTTAAACCATTTTCACAAAGGAACAAGATTATGTAAAAAGACCATGCATATTATAGTCTAAAAGGCGTCACCCTAATATAACATTTTATACTGATTTCACAAAGCCAGCTATTTTTCAAATTTTTTTTAGCAATTCAAGAGACAGTTTGTTCTAAGTGTTTCTTTCTTTTTTCCAAGTTTCAAAAGCCAAATAAACGATAAATTAATATGCAATCATCCTATACCATCTTACCAAAAATTGCGAGCCGAGAAGAATTTTATACCAATATTGTTGAATTCATTACCATAAAAGTTCCTATTTAACCAGAAACCAAACAGTTGTTCTTTCAAGTTTGTTATTTATCTCACTTTATTAAATTTCCTAGCAACATACATTTTTGTTTCAAAATTTAGCTTGTTCACCAACTTGATGGAGAACCTAAAGAAGGCTGCTTGATTCAACAACGTGATTCCTATGTTTGATTCCCTTGAAATTAAAGTTATGAATTGTATTAACAATTAATTTTGCTGCACCGAGCTTGATTTTTTACGTTTTCAGCCAGTCCAATCAATTAATTCACATGAATATTCTTAGATGCTCGGGGGGTCTTACGTGGACATCTATGACTTTTTTTCAGTTAATAAACTTTTTGTTGCAACTTAAGATATACTTCTTATCGGAGTTGGAACTTAGAACCATCTTATTCTATGCACCAATATGTACTTCCTGTTGACGCTACAAGTGAAGGATAAACCCTTCTTTTGTACAGGTAAGTACCGTATGCGCGTTTAATATGACGATATGTTTGCTGTTGTCGTGCTTTGAAGATACGCTTTGAAGATAAGCTTCAAACCCTCAACTTTTTTGACGATCTTCCTAAAAAATACGTCGATCTTTCTCAAAACTGTTGGAGACCCGCCTTCACACGAGTGGGACAGCATGATTGGTTGTAAGTTTTATCAAGAACTCAAAACATTCAGTGTTTAATATGAAGCGTCTGAAACGAATTCTTTTGAAACGGCTACCTTACACTTGCATAGGGACGTTGTGGCTTTGATTTCACTAGGCGGAGAAAGACATAGCTTCGGCAAATAGCCTTATCCTATTTTGGCGTGGCTATTCAAAATTTTAGGAAAAAACAATGTCTTCGCTGATTAAATTTATATGAAACAATGGCCGAAGTTGAAAAGTCCAGTTATTGATTGATTTTCATGGAATTTCCAAGTTCTTGGTTTTTTCAAAATTCAATTGTTTCTTAATTTTTTGGCTTCGAGTGCAGAAGATTCTAAATTTTCCCGATTGCCCTGTAGTCGTTTCCTATAAAGTCTTTCTTATAAAGAAATTAGTGTATTGAACTAGACCTAACGACATTTGTTATGTGATATAAAGAACTGGAAATCGTTTTTCGAAAGAAACGTTTCGATAGAAAATGCAATGAATTCAGTTGTCATGCATTCTACCTGAAAGTTCCACTCCCTCTTCCACCACCACCTTTATCTTGAAAAGTTCTAGGTTCTTTCGTATAGCCATTCACCTTCAAACCTTAATTATTTGTTAAGATTTTCTGGTCGAAGACGCAGACTGACCAATCAACAGACCCTTAATCACAAAAGTTGTCTTTATGCTATCTTTAGACTGATATACAGTGTGTAAAACTCCTACACTTGAATTCAAAGATTATCTACCAACCATGAAAGACTCAAAATACTTTCACAGCCAAACACTGTCAGTGTCTAGAATAAGCGACAGTTACGCTTTCATTCTTGCATTTTATCAACTTTTCTTGCATTTTGAAAAAGTCACAATTTTCTGGGATCGATGAGATGATACAGAGCGAATGTAAATCAGAAGCTTTGTTCTTTCCTTCGTCTCAGAAGCCGTTTAGCATTTTATAGCTTTGATCGTTGTTTTAAAAGCGATGCATCTGGAAATTTATTTTGCTTTAAAACTTGTTTAATGAGTAGGCAAAACCTTACTTTTTTTAGAACGACGTAACAATCTTTCCAGCGAATTTAATTCACTGACCAATTCGGTATGGATGTTTTAACTACATCGAATTTTGAATACACGCGACACTCGTTTTTCATCCTTTAAACGCTAGCAGTGTCTCTAACTAGACTTTGAAGTTTAAAACGGAATAAGAAACGAAAAAAAACATTTAAGCTGAACCAGTACATGTTTTTAAGGGGCTCATTTCCAGCCATCTCCAACCAGTTGTTTTCTGTTTTTTTTTTGCTTCACTCATCCTCTTACCAGAGTCACTTAAGTGTTCATCCTTCATGAATCAGCTGAAAATTCACTGACAATACCAGTATTAATTCCTTGCGTTATTTTAGCACTTAGCCCCACATAGCGAGGTTGTCACCCAATTGCAGCACGTGTTTCAAGTCTCGTGTGAGGAAGTATTCCACTAAGCAATTTGTTACCAAACCCTGATGTTAAGGCATCGAGCAGTCAGTCTCGTCCCTTTCGTCCTCGTCCCGTTTTTCTTTCATTCTCCTATTCTGAAACCATATTTTAATGTGCTTTTCGGTCAAGCTTAACGCCCTCGCGAGTTCGATTCTTCGCGCCCTCGATATGTATCTGCTATAATGGTATTCCTTTTCCAGCTCAACTTGTTGTGCTCTTGTATATGTTGTCCTTGTTCTTTTTTTTACTTTCGCTGATCTCCACGATTTCGGTGGCTGTTCGTCGCCCTTCTCTTCTGCAAAACAAAGAAGAATTGTATCATTCGCAGTAAAGCAAATCTCACGAAGATAAATTTCTAATAACATTGGCAATCATGATGATTAAACTATGGTGATGATGATGATCCTTATGATGATATAGTTATAATCATAGTTGATCATTATAAAAATAATTTTTCTTGTAGTTGGGAAGATGTAGGATGTGCATATGAAAATCTATTGTATATGATAAAAAAATACATTAAATTCATTTAGAAACACACGAAAAATAGAATATCTAGATCGTGATAGTTTTCCCAGTTTGTCTGAAATTCTCAATTTGATCAATCATTCTGCGCAATCTTTTGAACAACGAACACGATTTAACACAGCGTTTTGTGATCAATGTCCTGCGAAGGGGCTTCCGGAGGAAATTAAGGATAATAAAGTTTGTAAGAAAGCTGGTCCAACATAAAGCCTGATTTACACGAGACGAATTTTTCGCGCGAAACAAACATTTCACTTTTTCTTTCGCCACGAATGTTTTAGCTTCGAATTTTTCTCTCGAATTCAAAGTTCAATTTACACTGGCAGAAATTTTTATGTGAATTCGCTGCGAATATTGCAAAAGAATATAGCGACTGCCCGAAGAGTGCTCTTGTCAGAAAACTCAAAATTTTAAGTTTATCATAAAAGTGAGCAAAACAGCAATAAGCGACACTGGATTAGAAAAATTTATTCAGGACGTCTTCAGAAGGGGGAATTCCATCTTTCGGTAAGGGAGGTTTACGTTTACATTTATAAGACCAGGATAACTTCTTCAAATACTTTCAAAGGTCGCAATCGAAGCTTGCAAGAGCATGCAAGAGCCTGTTAGTGCATCTGCTTAAAACTGTTGCTGTTGAACAGGCCAATAAGCAGCCGACAATTTAGCAATTTGAAGAAATTCTTGCCTAACTTTCCGACATATTGGTAGAACAATAAAGCTTCCAAGCCAGGTGTCTTCAAATACTGCTCTGATTGGTTCATTTTACAAGACGAAAAATTTCATAGCAAAAAGCATTCCATTCCTACTTTTCGCTGCGAAATCTTTCTTTGTTTGGATACATTCTTATGAGTTATCTGTGGTGGAATCGCTTGTGCTATTTCTGCCATTTTGCTCTGGGATAGATGCGATTGAAAGAAATTGTTGCTTAGGATCGAAGGCCCTTTAGCGTGTTAACTTTACGGTTAGTGAATGAGCTCAAACAACTTCATTGATTTCTTCTCGTATAGGAGTGTTATGATCGATGCTTTGGCTGTGGCATCAAAGTTTAGCCTTGGCTATTGTCTGTTTTTGGAACACCACATGTTTTTACAGCCATAAATTTGTCGAACAGGGCCGTCACAGCAACGCTTCGATGAGCTGTTACACCTTGGTTTAAAAAAACCAGTTTCCAGGTGCTTTGGTTTCATGCTTTGCGGTTCACATCTCCACCATTTTCATGCTCATGGTTTAGGTCCAGACGTGGCCTGGCGACACCCTTACTTTCTTGTTTCTGGGTGTCAAGTATTTAATTGATGATACTTGTATTACACAAACTCTCTAATATAACCTAAATTATTTTCAGATTTGCAGCGGAATTTGGTTAAGCAGCGATTGATAATCCCAAGACGCTCGTAGGTCAAGAGTTTCCCCTTTGAACTGTCATCACTAGACGAAGACGCATGTAGTGTGACTCTGCAACCCACAATATGCCTTTCTTAATACTATTGAGGAAATGGAAAGTGTAGCCGTAAAAAAAGATTATATTTAGAAGGTTTTGTTTATTGAGGAAATATTTGTCCTGTCTTAATTTGTTGACCACAAGCAAAATGTTTTTGCAGCACGTTGAAGTTTTGAAAAACCTGAACTCAGGCAGCAGGACATGAATTATAGTTTGAGGATTTCTTATGCTTCCTAAATGTTTAATGTTTCGTTTTTAATACCACTTAAAGCTTCGTGACCAATTAAAAACCCTTGGTTCCTTCATATCATCTAAAGCTGAATTTTTGGCATCTCTCAGTTAGAACATTTGAAAGATATTCGATTTTCCAAGTAACGGAGAATGTTAAAAAGGAATTAGCTTTCAGCCTTGTATACTAAGCGAAACTTGGCAGAAACGTCCAAAAAAGGTTGAAATCGACAGAAAAGAGAGAACGAGAACTTGATACTGTCTGGCGCATGCTCAACTGTTACAACCAAACTCTTCATTTGGCTGTCAAAATTTTTCAGAGCATCCTCAATACTCTCTTTATTTCAATTTAGAGGCAAAACTTTTTATAACGGAGATGTCGTAATTAAGGTCTGGGATTTGTTCACAAACAGCTTGTTAAGTGGCGATACCGTGTTAGTTATTACCTTGTCAAGTTGTAAACATATGTTTCTCTGGTCAATCGGGCTTTCAATATCAGATTTCAATTAATCACTTGGAAATTTTATGAAGTAGTGTATGGTTTTACCCGCCCAAAACAGCTTCATCCGAGTGACATTGATTAGAATTTAGTTCAAGCACTTGTTCACACTGGATCGATTTGACTGTCTTGCCCAAAATGTCCATAAATTAACGTCAATGTCAAATGTTGAAATTTATTCGAAGATAAGTCGATATTCATTCAATCCTTTTCTATAGGTTCTGACATGTTGGATTTTAACAGTTTTGTGCTATGACCCTTTCTCTTCTTCATTATCTGTTCTTCATTATCTGCTCTTCCTTATAAGAAGAACAGCGGAGTTCCTTTCCGCTTTCCTATTTAGGTTGATGGTTTCAGCTTTTCTTCCTTAGCGCAGTCATTTACCCTTTGCAAACTTCCATAATAATCAAAACAAAAACAAAATTAAAACAAACTGAAGCCATGACAGTAATATAGGTGGGTGTTTTTCAAAAGTTAAAGACATTTTTTGCAAACTTGGCAAATGTTTTAAGCACAAAGGGCCTCAACCTTAGTCCTTGATCCCGATAGATTGTTTCTAGTGTAAACAAAAAATGAAACTCGTCCAATTTGTATAAGAAGCACGGATCCAACATGTTAGCTCATAAACGAGGGCTGAACAATTTCGCTCACAGAAACAGGCCCTCTAAGCTCCCGGTTGGTGTGGTAAAAATCAGCATTTGGGCCGATGGAATATATTATTTTTCCTCACTTTAAAGAGAATTTGAAAGCAACTTAAATGTTAGTCGTTGTTTCTAACGGGTGATATTTTTTATACACTTAGTAAGGCTTTTTAAGACTATCATGGCGAGAAATTTTGCTTTGTGCATGAAAAGAAACATTTTTCAAATGGCTTTGAAAAAAGCAAACATTTAGTAAACTAAAGCTTTTCGTCTGACACTCTTCAGAGTTTAAAACGTCAGAACATTGATCGAAAACTCTACGTGTGGATCGAAATAGGCCAATCAGAAAACATGAGCACATGACTGTATAGGTTGACCAATCAGTGCCGCTTGCCTATTGAGAATGTTACCAATGGAGTCCTAAGGTGAAAACGAATTCCTTTTGTCTAAACAGTAGCGGTTTTTCGTGCTTATGTAGATAGATTCCAAAACTGCTAGGTGGAACGACGATCGGACTCTACCAATAATCCGAAACATGTCGCCATTGTAGTTTTTTGCACAATCTGGGTTTTCTAGCGGCACTGATTGGTCAACATTTTTTGTTTAACAACAAACTCGCTTTCTCTAACCAAAAAAATAATCCTTTTTCCAAACATTATCCACTTCAAAACACAGCAAAACACGTGTTGCTGAAGGTGTTCAAGCAGGTGGCTCGTTGCTACAACGAGGCCATAGAATCCAGAAGAGGTTGAGACAGAGGCGGCCAAGTTTTCACTTTCATTTGTTTCTTTTTACACAAAGACACACCAGCCTAATTTATATGTTGTGCTCTCGTAGACACTCAATCTCGATACCAAAGGAGAATGGAACCTCATTCTTAATTTGAGGATATCAAGGAAAGAACCGCAAAACAAGAATAACATTGTCGCAGAGCAATCATCTCAATTCCTTAGGAAAAAAATTTTATCGTGTCATCAGGCAAAAATTTCATACCGGATAGCCTATCTCAATCCGATATTTATTAGGACGGTTCTGTGAAAACTGAAGAAGATTTAAATCAGGACTGCTAAACTCGGTCCTTTTTTATATAAAAACACTTTCGTGTAAGCCTGCAAGTTATGAAACAAGGCAGCCAAGCACAATCCGGTAACTTTTGGAAATCGCGGAAATTTTATAATGAAAGAAGGCAAAAATTTGAAACCGGACTGCCAAACTGAATCCGGTATGATTTGACCACAGTTTCCCGTAATAATGCCTTGGATATATTGTGGGTGCATCGTTAACGGTTGCAGTATGAACGGGACACTATCTTGTCTTTTTAAAAAATATTGAAGAAAGCTTTTTCAGTCGATCAAATCTTAGATATTTGAAGAATCTTAGATCTTTCAAGAAACTCGAAAAGTTGTTTTTGTTAATATTTTTGAAAGAATGCCTCTTATCAGTTCGATACGATTGCCTTTTTCTCTAAAAAATCAATAAATATTGGTCATTGTCGAATTTCAAAATCTTATTATCTTATTCATAATCGAGAGAAAGTAGCTAGTTTCCTGGTGCAGATAATCTATATGAAAGATAATTTTGGAGAACGATCATCTGCGTTTGAATTGGCGGCAATATAATAAAAGAAATTATGAACATTTAGGTGGTGAAAAGTGAAGAAAAAGAAGAAAGGTTTATTGGTAGTTGCGGGAGTTTCTAGAGCAAAAACTGATTGAATGCAACTTTTATAATTGATCGGCATTCGAGATGGGTCATGTTAGTGAAAGCTGGGAAATAATAAATGAACTTGTAACATCCTTGGCCAATGTATTCGCCAATGTCTGATTTTAATGAAGTATACAGAAAGCCGGATCTTAAAACGTCTCTACATGAAAGGAAATTTAACATTGAAAATCGTTGGTAAGATGTGATGAGGTAAACTGCCAGCTCTAATCTAAGTGCATTATGAAAAGCGTACATCAAAGAAATGAAAAACTGCAGTTGAATTCAAGTAGTAAGTAGTGGAATCAGTTATCTCGAGTTCATCAGATGCTTAAACAGAAAACCCATTGCGATTGTTTTGTTCTGTTTCCTTGATTTGTAACGGTTTAGAAAAATTAAATTTCTTGTATTTGATCCGTTTACCCAGACCAGTTTTCAAAACAGGTCGACAAATGCACCTCCTTAAGTGTTTGCAGATCTATGGTTACCTATTTCATCGTTGTTCATTCATGGGTTCTTTTGCTTACCCAACACATAATTTATATTCAATATCGCTTGTGGTGCATGCAAAGGCCTTTGCTACGAGGATAGAATTATTCGTCTTTGCTCAAGCTACCTATAATTTAACTGTAAGACAGCTAACGATACCAGAAAACTCCTTGTATTTCGGTTGCTTGCAACTCAAGAAAGATCTTAGAAGGGAGAATAATTCGGTGTTTCTCCTTGTTTCTACGAAATCTGTTGTGCACCTATTCCCTGCTACGTATTTGCTAATACAACTAGTACCTGAAAATTTAATACACTCACTACAGAAATGAATAAAAAATTTCGGGGAAACCTGTAGATTCGCTTTTTGGCTTTAATCAAAATGAAACTTAGAAGTATGGCAATGATCTACCTAAACAAAGACGTTTCAGCTTAGTTTGTCATACCTTTTACAAACAATTATATCTAAATGAAGGTGGGGCCACACAATACTCATTTTTACCATTGGGCCACACAATACTCATCTATTAGGCCATTTATATTATATAAATCATCAATTCAATTAATGAAATCCTGAAAATCGATGACATTCGGCTTTCAGCTTACATGACTATAATTTAAAAATACATCTTAATGTGCACAATTATCATAATTACATGTTTAGTAGTATTAAATCTCTGCTGCAGTCAGTTAACTAAATGTGTGTTTAAAATTTCATTAGCTTTGCTTTTGTAATAGGTTTTTCTATATAAGCTTTTGATATTATTTAATAACATGCCAAGGCAACTTAAAGTGAATTACATTTTGCTATTGGTTCTCTGTGTAGCGTAGCCTTAATGTAAACAAAAAGAGATTGCAATGTAAAGCAGAACTTTCTGCAAATTTCTAATGGTTTCCTCCATCTTGAGATTTTCTGTTTATGTCATCTTTTTCAAAAAATATTGTAGCAACGGTTGCTAAAACCATTGACTAATTTTAGAGCCAAAATTATGGCCTTTGCTTGTAGCGATTTAAACGAAAGGTTTTTGTAAACTTGACAAAACCTCAAAAATGCCAAGAAAACCTAAAAGCAGTCAAGGATAAGGATGGATTAATGCTAAACGCTCAATTTTTAGTGGATTTCAAAAACATTTCTTGAACATTTATTGGGTTTTAAAAGCATATCGTTAGGTTTGGTCCCAAGATATCAAGGTCAAAGCAAGTTTCTAATGAAAACAACGCAATAATTGATTTTTGAAATTTGTGTACTTGGCACATACATTTGGAGCAAGGTAGTATCTTGCTTAAACAGTTGAACCGTGGCCTCGATAGCCTTTGGTTTAACACAGTGCACTACACAACTGAAATTTTAATTTGAATTGATTTCATTTGGTTTGTTCCAATCCAAAGTTAAAATTATCATTTATTATTGAATATATACGTACAAATATTATGGTATTTATCACAAATTTGAGTTTTTTTATTTGCTGGCTTAAGGTAGGGCTGGTACTGAAATTATGGTAACTGAAAAATCACTTTCTATGCAACAGGGGTACTTACACATCATAGCTCTTTGCACAACACATAATCCACAGATTCAACTAAAAGCATGACATTCGCATTATTTGTATTAGGCAAATTCAATTCGATGGCGATTTTATCTGTTATTGCATTTTTAAGTTTGTGGATTAAAAAAATTTCTAAGTTTTTACTTTAAAAGGTTCTTTAAAAAAGGTTAGCTAAAACCCGTCTATCTTAAAGAGTAAGTTATATTAAGGCATAGAAAGGCAGGTTTTATTTTGTCCCTACCCAGAACCCATACATATCCCTTTTAATTGTATTTATCAGTTTATTCGTGGTTTTACTGCGTGGTTTCTTGCAGCAAAGTAGGCATGAATAAGAGAAGCGTCATCATGCTTTTGTTAAGTGACTCTCAACCCATTCAATTTCCCACCAACAAACGTACATAACATGGAAACAAACATGGCATACTCCATTGCTTAAATGATCCTCTACAAATTTTCAGTACAGAATTTTCATGCAAGAGACTCGTGTCGCATTTTCTCAGACAAGCAAAGATATTTGCCTCTTTTTGGCCTCTGGCTGTGTCACGAGCAACAATCACCATGAAACAAAAGTATGTAATGCCGGTCCATGCAAGCATTCGTGCTTCACAGACGGTTTTTAGGCTCAATTTGCTAATTATCTAGCCTATTCATAATTCTCTCGTGCAGGGCGATGTCTGGATTTTTGCTTTGCTTTTTTGGAAGTTCTTTAAAAGAAATGCCAAAAATTATGTTACCGTCATTTGACAAGGGGTCCCTTCGCATAATCTGTTTGGGTTTGTATACATTGAGCCAAGAAAGGTTTATTAATTAGCCTATATCTTGTACTGCTGTTCCCTTTCATGGTTGCATGACTCATTACTGGCTCGCAGCCTACGATATCTTAATGTAACGATTATTGGCAGATATAGAAATGTTCCTGTGGCCATTTGCAGCTGAAAAATGTAGCAAAATTTCAATCCAACTTACTTCAAAATCTCCTTAAATGCATATTTAATTGAGAAACGTTTTTGCATAAATTCTAGGTCGCTTAGATAAACTTTGGTAAGCATGCAATAGATATATTTGGTCTTTTTTAATTAATCATGACTTAACATTGGGTAAAAATGATGAAAAAAGATGTGAAGAACCTTTGACTCTGACGGCTTCTTCGTCTGAACCATTTTTAGGCGAAGGATTCCCTTTAGCAAGTTTTCCTTCACTTGACAAAGTTGTTAATGTCTCGATGACTTCAGAAATATCTAGAGGTGGTAAATTACTCAAATCTTTTTTTGGTTGACTGGTTTTTGAGTCTTTTCCTTCAGCAGATGTGCTAGAGTACCTTTCGTTTCTGTCAAAGCGACACGAGCTTAGTCTCCCAGAGGAACTACCTCCAGCTGTTGGTGCCCCACTGCTGTGTTCTAAGCTGTTACTGTATCCACTAGGCTCTTGTCTGTAATTTTCTGCCATGTTGCTCACCTGGTGGGGCATGAACCCTCTTGGTGTCCCATTATGTGTTAGCCTTTGTTTTCTATACCAGTATAATCTTTGTGTTGTCATATTGTCTTCGATGTGGGCCATGCCCTCCATGGGCTTCCACTGTTCGCTATGTTATGTTTCTTGATACTTTCCACACTGTCCCTTTCTTATCCTACGTTAGGTCAGATAAACATTGATTACACATACAGGTAACTATGCGCTCTGGTACTTGCAGCTGATCGCGTTTTATACTTCCTTAGGCTATTTTGCAGAATGGCGGCTCCCGGCCCTTCACTTCAGCTTACCTGTAAGCTGTCATACATATGCGCAGCCCTCCGTGGTCGATATTTTATTCGTTTGTGACACTTTGATAGTATACGAGCAACCCTCAGCAACTAGTTTTCTGAAGAAACGTGTGATTGGGTCTGTATTTGAGAGTGTGCGTGGGATACATACCCAAGCTAAATAAGCCAGAGGATACCAAGACAATAGCTCGCGCAAGCTGTTGGCCGCCTGTTGGAAGATGGTTCGGAGGTCTTCTAAGATTCTGACGAGGAAGCTGTGTATAATGAATGGACAAGAAGTATCAACTCATTTAGCCTCGTATTTTAGCCGTCCTGATTGTTTTAAAAAGCCTGGCAGCCTAAATCTGTGAATAACCAAGCTGAAGTAATTCCCCTAGTAGCAGAAGCGCTCTTTTTAAAGTATTTTGCAGTCCTGTAGCTCTCAAACCGTTTTCTTGATATTGAGTTCGCTAGACCCCTTATTGTGGCAAGCCCTGAGACCGCTAGAACCCTTTCAATTTTATTAATTCAAAAAAAATCCTTTACAGAAAATGAAGACATCTAAAGCGAAGTCTTGAGGTCTTCGGAAACGAGGTCGCTGGGCCAGAGGCGCGAATACTGTGTAGACGCTAAGGAGTCTGGCAACCAGTTGGTGCTTGTCCATGTGGTCATTTATCACATTTCGGTGCTTCTTTGATTGGGTTTTCTGTCAACCCAAGTGTTTTCCTGACGAATCGAGGTCCCAGCCACATGGCTCCGCCAGTTTAACTGTGGTTGTTTTTCACTGTATTATTAATTCAAGATTTAATAATCCTGATTACACGTTCCACCTTTCCTATATTCATCCAGTCCAGATACTTTTACTCTTATTAGACTGCTCTCTTAACCACAATTTTGGACGTCTTTTTCCAGTATTTAATTTTCTAATTTGCAACTGCAGGAACGCTTCGAATCTTTTGTAAAGCAGGGAGAGATACGCAAATACCAAAAGGCTTGTGGAAATAGAAAAGGAAATTGGTTTGTTCGACTCCTCCGCTTTCCTTCCTTCCTCCCAACTTCGGCACATTTCGGCGCTTAGATCACGATATGTATCAACGGCAACTGCAAATTCTTTTAAAGTCTTTAATATGAGCAACAGCATATTTGCAGCTAAGATGCTTGAGGAAATGAACCAACAAAAGTTTCCAATCAATGAACACATGAAAGTACGAAAATCTGCTTCTTCTTTCCTTTTCTTTTCATAAATTTTTCTTACCTTACATCTTGCATTTAGTGAAATTTTGAATAGAGTTCTACGCAGGTTTAATGAGCAATAAACTAAGGGAGTTGTGAATATGTATCAGATCGTCAATTGTTCCTCTTAATTGCCGAGGAAGTAATTTGAGTTGTTATTTGTCGTGCTCTTAAATGCAGGTAAATTAAAAATAGTAAAATGATGAAGCGCAAATTATGTATTTTGACACGAGCCTGTAATGAAACAGGTGGAGGGATCCAAAGATCTGCTATGTTTAGTCAGTTGAAGCCAAGAGTACCGGATTAATTCAAAATAGCGCTGCGTATTCACTTTTAACAAAGTTGAAAAGTGCATTTCAGTTACTAAGGTAAGCATCTAATCTAAACAAAATAGCTCAGGGACTAACATTGTTAACCCTACAGAGATGGAAGCATTTGGTCAGCATCAGAGTGAAAACACAGGTTATGATAAAAAAGCGTGAAAAAAGCGGAATTCATCCAATACAGCTCAGAGTGTCAAACGTGAAATAACGTCAAAGATGAATTTCAAAAGACTGTCAGTGATGTTGGGGCTGTAAACATCCTTCGTTTGTAACTAATAATCCGGAAGAGTTTTGCCTTTTCCTTCTCTGTTTAAATACCAAGCAGGGCTAGTTTGAAATTGAGATAATAATCTTTTGGTGGTACAAAATTCTGCAGTTACAGTGTAAAGCAGTTTGCATTATTGCAAAGAAGTTACCTTGTGTTAGTCTTGTCTTCTTTTTACTTTCAATTTTGTTGTAGTGACACACAGACACAGTTGTCGCAATGGCTACCCCTTTAGGAATCAATGAAAAAAACGCATCCAGTATCCTTTTCAACTTCTACAGTGCTCCACAGCTTGTACCTGTAGAGATTACTCATCAAACTTTACTTCTTTATTCTATTTTATCTTTGATAGACATCTGATAAATGTGGTCTCATGCAATTTTGGCGTAGGGCCTGTGCGACTAGAGGCTTTTTTGAGCTTATCAAATCAGTAGCTGATTTAGGATCCAGTATTTCATCATCACCTAGCAACTCGATGTTCAAGCGTTTATAACGAAAATTTAGACTGATTGGATGCTTTCATTTCCCATGGCGAACCTGTATCTTTTCCCAAAGTTACCTTTTAACTCTTCATTATTTGCTTCTAGAACCAGTTCTCTTATCTGCCTGAGTCTGAGATATGCATATTTTTGTCATTTCCTTTCAGGAGTTTTGCATCGGCTCTTGATGTTGATAAAAAACCTCAAACCTCACGTTGTGTGCGACTCTAAGATTGATAGAATGTTGTGACAGCTTTAGTGTCATCAGTGAAATCGCTTGTAGCAGCTAGATTATTTTTAGGTCTATCTTCTGATGGCGTTCTTTTGACAATAAGATTTTCATGACAGTGTATGAATAGATAGCTGAGAATAGATAACAATTGGTAACTATGAATAACTCCCCTCCCTGCGCAAATACACAGATATTTTGCAAAAAGCATCTATATGATAAAAATTGATGGATTCCTTAGAAAATCATAAGAAGCTAGACGTACTACAAGACTCAGTGCTAGGGCTACTTCTTCTTACATTTTTTAAGATAGTTTCAAGAAAGTCTCTTGTATGTTTTCTGATGAAGGAAGCCAAAAGTTGGCAATTCTAAGGTATAAAATTTGCAACAAAGAATAGAGCAAGATGCAAATCTATCCTGCTTAGGATTAACAAAGAAAGAATTAATACACATTTGAGAAACAAAGAAAGTGTGGAGAAGAAACTTCATCAGCGTCAATCTTGATAGAAAGTCAGTTTCAGTAAACATGTCGAAATGCTTTTTAAAGCATCTAGTAAGAGGCTTCATGCCAAGAAACTGAAGCATTCGATGAAGACTTTCGTTATATCCCAATAACTTGGATGTTTCATGCTAGAAAATTGCACAATAAATGGATTTCACAAATGGATCTTAAAGGTTGCATGCAATGACAAGGAACTACTCACAGCTTCATTAGAAGCAAATTTTCGAAGAAAAGAAATAACTGACGGTTTAAGGTGTTCAGATACATTAAAACTATCGATAGTGAAAAGAACTTGTCTTGACATTGAAATTGTCAGATTTATGAAGAAAAATACAAAAGAGACTATCACCAGAACTAAAAAAATTTCACACTGACCCGAAATAGTTAAAAAAGCTTTCAAAGCCCAAAAATCTATGCTTGCAATTGAGGTTTCATGTTTAGGTTTTTTTGGTTTTTAAATTGTATTTTTCTGATTATATTTTACTAATTGTTCTCCGCCCAGTCCTTCAGTTCACATTGAAAAGGAAGAAAACGATTCTAGACTTTGTTGATGCTTTGCAATTTCTAGACGTTTTTGTTTGAATTGCTGGCACTGGTGTATCTACATTTTTGGAGCCAAAAACTCAAGAGAATTCTTTTCATCTTAAAAAATATCAACCTTGACAAAATTTTGGCCCATAGGGCACTAACAATTTGTTCCAAAGCTCGACTTGGAACATGAAAACCAAAATAGTTCTTTCTGGAAAACAACTGACCAGACGATATAATTGCTGCTTAAGTTAAGATGAAGTTGCTGGATTTTTGGCCTATTTTGTCTGCAAATTCGTCCGGTTTATGTAAAACTATCATGGCTCGGTAACAATTCCTTGCGATTTGAAAATCAGATAAAAAAGGCCATTACAAAACATTTCTTTTCTGTTAATCTTCGTATCGTTTACAGTACAAAAACGGACCATTCATTTCATACTAAAGGATTACGTTCCTACCGCCAAAAAGGGTTCCGTTTTCTACTACAATGCCTGCCAAAAGTCCTTGGAGCACCCTGACATTTCTGTGAATTTGCGTGTTCCTTTCTATTTCCATGTCAACAAGGAGGGTGTTGCCCCCCTTCCCCCGCATACAATATTGATTCGCTAGCTGAAAACCATAGCTATGTAAAAATGTATCACTTGTACATGTAGGATTATTCATATTCCGTGGCACAACATTGTACAAGGGGGGAGGGGATGTTGCAGCTCGTGCACAACGTGAATTATAGCAAGTGTTCCAAGACTTTTGGCAGGCATTGTAGTTAACGTGCCAGTTGAATTCTGGCTACGTAGGACGCATAACCCAAAGATTGGGGTAAAGAGTAAAACAGCATGTCCCTTCTAGCATAAGAAACAAAACTCGTCCCCAAATAGAACAGCCTCGTCGGTCTTATAGATCAAAGAGAACAACTAAAGCATGTGATTCTGCTATTGGGCAGCATTTACTGGAAAACCCAGATTGTGCAAAAAACTAAAATGGCGACATGTTTCGGATTATGAATAAATCACCCATTCAGTCAAGTATGTCAGAGAAAAGTTAAAGAAGAAAACAGATAAAGTTGCTATTACAAATTTTGTGTACTCGAGGCATATCCTAAGTCATACCGACGTGGCTGACATTGTGGATCAACTCAGAGCCAGGGGAGCTATCTTGCGAAAGGTCCCCAGTCATTCTTCATACCTGACTTGGATGACGATGAAAACTCTTCTTTGATGAAAAATAAGACCAAAGACCAAAAGGAAAGAATTGGAGAAGCAGCTTGAAAATGTTTCTGCACCTCGCCACGACAGCCCTCCATCGACCATCATGAACTTCATCCGCACCGAGCTTGACCAAACGGAATTACGTCTCGCAAACAAGATCATTGTCAATCTGGAAGAAAAATATGCGGAAAAGGCAAATAGTGAGAAAGTCCTTATTGAATAGTAAGAAAAATGAGGTAGATTTTCTCACATAAAAATACAAACTAAGAACAAAAATCGT